TATATATATTTTTTTATTTTTTATTTTTTTTTTTTTTACCCTTTATTTATACAGGTATTCATTGAGCCACGAGAACTCATTTTCAAGAGAGACCTGTTTAGGGAGCAGATGGGGGTTAAGGGCCTTGCTCATGGGCCCAGGGTGGGGCGAATGAGGGTGGGGGCTGCTGTGGGTGTTTCACCTACCCCGCCCACAATTTTGATGTCAGTACCGGGGCTCGAACCGGCGATCTTCCGATCACAGGCCCACCTTCTCTAACTTTCGCGCCACCATTCCCCCATATGGGAAACCTTATTGTAAAGTGCCGGCCTGCTTCCTCATCGACAGTCAAGTCAAACTGGTTCAAAACTAACAAAGTCCATGCTCAATAATCCAGGTATTCAATCGAACAATTTTCAGTCAGGTCATCTGGACAGTTTCTTTTTTTTTTGTGCTGAAACGTTTCACCTTGGAGTAAACTGTTGGGGGAAGAATCAGTTTTGTGTTGTGTGTTTACTTGACTGATGAAGCCTTCTGGATGGAAGATGAAACTTTTCAGCACAAAAAAAGAAACTGTCCAGATGATCTGACTGAAAATTGTTGGGTTGAAAGAAGAAATAACATGGAAATTAAAAGTATGAATTTGAAATAAGTTTTAAAATAAGCTGTAATAAGAAGAAAATAAAAAGATAATAATAAAAAAAAAAAGGCTGACCACCTTATCTTTGTTGAAATTAGCCAAAAATAAACCTAAAATTAGCAGAAGTAGCTGAAAGAGGTAGAAATAACTCAAGTTTGCTTAAATAATTTGAAATGAGCACACACAAAAAAAAAACTTAAATGAAAAGGTGTAAGTGGCCGATAGAATTAAAACGTCTAAATAATTGCTGAAATAGCATAAAAAAGCTGAAATTAGCAGAAAGAAGGCACAACGAGGAGCTAAAGGAAGCTAAAATTAGCACCAACAAGCTGTAATGAGTTGCAAAAGTTTGTAAACCGCACAAAGAGTTGAGGGTTGTGAAGAAAACTACATTATTTTTCAATGAGAAAAAAATGGCTACGAAAGCTAAATGTTTCAAAAATGAAAATTTGCACAAATACAAGTCACAGCAGGAATGTCTATAATGACATAACTATTTTGATATATGAATTGTTGAAATAGCATGAAAATTGCAAAACAAACAATGATAAAAACTGTATGAAACAGGAAAAAAAATGATCTGAATAGTGTGAATACTTTATATGCATTTATGCAATTGCAATATCTTTAACTGTGGTGACGAATTCAGGTATAGAAAAATACAATGCCAAGTCCGAATACATTCAACAACAAAAAAACAAAGCAAAAATCAGTAATTCTGTCTTGACAGCTTCATTACTACAATACTCACTCTTTAGGTGTTCCTTCATATTTGTTCATTTTCTCATTCTGTCTTGACTTGACCTATTTTCTGGAATCATGTCTGATTGTTCTCGTCCTTTCCTCTACCTGGCGCCTGTTTGTCACACCACGCTGTTCCTGTATGTATTGATCAAACTTCAGCATTTAAACTGATGATGATTACAGGATCCATACCACAGCTGCCATTAGAGTGCAACCTCTCCTGCAAGCCCAGTCTGTCATCCATCGGTCTCTTCTTTCTATTCATCCATATTTCTACACTTCCTCCTAAATGTCATGCTGCTCCCTTGGCACAGCCACATGGGGTTCAGGTTCACATCATTTATCCACCGTAAAAGTGCATTTATTCCTGGGTGCAGACAGCAGGGAAATATGTGAATCTCATGAAATAGCTCCCCTGCAGTGAAATACAGGAAGTTCTGCCTTTGTCTGTGTTACAACTGTAAGCATAACACTACATGGATTATGTTTTTTTTTGTTTTTTTTTCTGTGTAATAGCTGTGTTTGCTTTTAATCATAAGGAGGAATTAGTGTGACTTACTCAAGGCTATGCACACTCCATGTGTGAGGAGCCCTTTGTTTCTTCTGTTTGTGTACAGCTTAATGGTTAAGTAAAGCATTTAACTGTAATTACATTTTTAAGCACTGGACCACTTTCGATTTATTAAAAGAACTGACACCTTAATGAGAATAGCTGGATTTCAGTTATTGTTCCAGTGTGTGTCAAAAGTTAGTCATGTCAGCAAAAAATACAGTGTCAGATTACAGTGCTGTTTTAGATGTAGCGTTATGTTTTTATGTTGATATTTTTTTCCACATTCTAAAAATGGTTAATTCATGGTCACTCAGCTGAGAACACAGCCCTTTAGCAGCTGGTGTGTTTTACAGCAGTCCAGCCATAAACTAAAGAAGTTGATTCAGTTAGAGAATAACACATCTGAAATCCATGTAACCTCCTAATTTATTAGGATTATTTATTAGGAGAATAGGATAATTGCTGCTGATCTCATGCTGCTGATTTATTTAATGCTGCTGTATTCATTCTATCTGCTCACACAGACTCATGTTCGTGCTGCTGTTGTTCGGCGTATTACTGTTTTGGCACTAAAGTGTTTAACGTATTCTTAGTTTAGCATATTTCTTAGTTCATATTTTCAATATTATTACTGTTTTGATTTACAATTTATACTTTTGTTTTATGTAACTGGGACCCTGAGTAGACAATTTTGTTCCACCACATGTACCACGAGATGAGAATGACAAAGAGCATTGACATTGTAGATGAACAGATGCTGGGATATATTCATCATTTAACGCGGGTTCCTCATTTTTCTGGACTGAATAAAACGTGCATTGACTTTAAGGAAATGCAAAAGTGAGACGTCATTTATATTTGACCCATCAAAATGAATGCGGTCATTTATTTACAGAATCAAATTTAACATCAAACATGTACATTAATTTGGCAAATTATGAAAATAACAACATAAGCAATCAATCAGAAAAACCATACGGCCATGATTTTTCCGTTGCTGCACCACAGACATTTATAAAACTGTACAACTATGATCTTTTACCCACATGAATGTGGGTGAGCATTTTACACAGACATTTCTAAAATATCTGGAAGAATTTCTACTTGATAGAAAAGTTTAAAGATGGAAAGAAGTTTAGAGGGAGTAAGATGGTGTGTGAGGGAAATTAAGTGTTCACCAGAATCGACACTCTCCGGCTTTCTTCAGCTTTTCCTTACAGTACACTTAGGTGATGAAATCGGCTCCTTTACCTGGAGATGTCTCAGGTGAGATTCCGTTTAACGCACCCTTTCAGCGTCTCAGTAGGATGCTGTTACTCGTCCGAAGTAATGGCGAGGCTCTGTTCGACACATATTCACCTCAGTGGAAAATGTTATAATCCCATGGAACTCGGAAGAGCTTTGTTGTCATGTCAGGAACTCCAACAGCACTCCATCAGAACTCAGCAGAACTTGTGTAGTTTACAGAACTCCCACAGAACTCTAGC